CACAGGGGATCTCAAATGCCGGTGGGATGCCTAGCTGTCTTAGAAATCACCTTGGGGTGCCCGATGAAAACACAGATTCCTGGGCCCCTCTCGCCACCTGCTGAATCAGAGTTTCTAGTGATCAAGCCCGTGTTTTTAGTACCTCCTCCAGGTGCTGCTGGTCACGGCCACGTTTGGGACCCACTGGCTTAGTGTTCTTTTACCCGGCTGCCTTTCTCTTTCCTCTGTCCGTTTCCCTCCTTCCTGCTCTTGGTGTTTCCCAATTCCCCGTTGGTTTGTGTTCTTCAGACTCCCAGAATAAACTCCCCTGTTAAAATCCCATTAAAGATCTCAACTGAAACATTATTGGAGTCTACCTGGGCCTTTGGGGTGGCTGGGAATTGACAGTAATGCTCCCGGGAGAGCTTCTCTGAGCACATCACAAGACACAGCTCATCATCAAGGGGAATCAGTTGCCAAAAGAAGCAAACGCTTTATTCACTGCTCTCATCTGGAATGGACGGCTGCTCACTTTCTCTGTGAAGTGTATATTTGGACCTGTCTTTCTCGAGGCACATTGAAGGTTTTTTGTGGATGCAGCTCAGTGCTGAGGCCCCCCACCAAGAGGCTAGTCTGGGTCTAAGGAGAAGGTAGTGGCCTCCTCTTGAGGCCTGGAATGGAGGCAGCTGAGGCTGAACCAGTGAACAAAAGAGCAGCTCACCTCTCCCCGGAAAGCCCAGTGAGGGGGGTGCAGTTGCCTCTGTTTACGGCTATGCTTATTCCATATTATAGATTGAATTGTGTCCCCTCAAAAACATGTGTCAACTTGGCTAGGCCATGATTTCCACTATAGTGTGGTTGTCCTCCAATTTGTGATCTGATATAGTTATCCTCCATTTTGTAATGTATTGTAAATCCTAACCTCTATATGTTAATGAGGCAGGACTACTGTGGGGTGTATCTTGAGTCACTGCTTTACAAGGAGATTTGACTCAAGTCATGCCATTACTCAAGTCACACCTTTACTTGAGTCCTACCTTTTATCTTACAAGAGATAAAAGGAGAGAAAAGCAAGCAGAGATAGGGGACCTCACCACCACCAAGAAAGAAGAGGGGGAGCAGAGTACATCATTTGGACCTGTGGTCCCTGCACTGAGAACCTCCTAGACCCAGGAGACAGAGAGCTATAACAACGGAGATGGCACAAGATGGCGAGAAGCAGTGGCAGAGAACTGGCAGCAGCAGAACCAGGAGACTGGCAGGAGATGGCACAGTGGTTGTGCTGACCCACAGAGGGAGAGAGCTGAGTGCCTTCTTGTAGGAGGCTTACTGGTGGAGTAGGTGCCTCTGGGCAGTTGTTGGTGGAGCTAGGCTTGCCGAATATCTTAGGCTGGGTTCTCTAGAGAAGCAAAATCAGTGCAGAGTATAAATACATATATATAGAGAGAGATTTATGTTAAAGAAATGGTTCGTATGGTTGTAGAGGCTGGAAAGTCTCAAGTCTGTGGATCAGGCTGGAGGCTTCTCCTGACTCACATAGCTGCAGGTGCTGGTGAATCCAAGATTGGAAGGTCAGATAGCAGGCCTCTGGCTCACAGGCTGTGGAGGTTGACGAATCCCAAGATCGGCAGGTAAGACAGCAGGTAAGCTGCTAGCTCAAGTCTCAAGAACTGTAGGTCAGATGAACAGGAGCCAGCTGCAGGATCCAGAGCGAGCAAAAGCCAGTGAGTCCACCTATATTGGATGCAGGCCACACCCCCAAGGAAATTCTCTCTCAACTGACTGACTGCTTACAGCAGATCTCGTCATGGAGGTGATCAGATTAAATCAGATCTCATTATGGAGGTGGTTACATCATTAAACAGCCAAACTAGATTATAACTGCCAAACCACTGAGGATCATGGCCCAGCCAAGCTGACACACAGCCTTAAGCATCACACCGACCCACGGAGCTAAAGAGCTGAGTGCCTTTGGGCCAAGGCTTACTGTCAGAGTGGGTGCCTCTGGGCACTTATCGGTGGAGCTGAAGAGCTTTGTAACACTTGTCCAAGCAGGGCAGAGGCCGGGCCGGGCTGAGGGGCTGAGGGCTGAGAGAGAAAGAGAGGCCTACCTGTGGGCATGGCTGAGAAGGTGTCCTGACTGAAAAACTGTATCCTGAGTCATTTCTGATTCTGAATTGCAACCTGTTATGCCAAGACACATGGAGATCTCCAAGGAACGCTGGGCCCACAGTTGTTGAAAGGAGACAAGGACCTTCCCCCAGAGCCGACAGAGAGAAAAAGCCTTCCTCTAGAGCTGGTGCCCTGAATTCGGACTTCTAGCCTCCTAAATTGTGAGAGAATAAATTTCTGTTTGTTAAAGCCACCATTTATGGTATTTCTGTTATAGCAGCACTAGATAACTAAGACATTCCACATGCCTTTGAGCTTCTATAATGGGCACTGTGTTGAGTTTGGGGTCCTTGGATGGTGCAAACAGTTAACACACTTGGATGCTAACCAGAAGGTTGGAGGTTTGAGTCCACCCAGAGGCACCTCAGAAGAAAGCCTGGTAATACACTTCTGAAAAATCAGCCATTGAAAACTTTATGGAGCACAGTTGTACTCTGACACACATGGGGTCCCCATGAGTCAAGATCACTTGATGGCAGGTACTGGTGTTAAGTTTGAATTCCAAACACTCCAATTAAGGCTTTTAATGGTTTCCTTTTTAATAAACCAGCTTGCCTCAAGGATCCTTAGGAACTCTGAACAAAAGAAAAAAAAAAAGCAGAAGGTTCTTCCAAAATTTCTCCTCCCCCTACCTCTGATGACCCAGGAACAGCAACCACCAAGATGGTGGGGAGAGGGAAAAGGTGATTGCCCTTTCCTCAGGCTCACTTGGTCATGTGTTAGGTCCCATAGCTCTCTAGGGCGCAGGGGCAGAGGCACAGGGCAGGCGTGTCCTCACAGAAGTAGGAGGACAGCTTGCTGGGGTGCGCTCTGACTCGTATCTTCCCGACTAGTTGTGCTCTGGACTGAAGCTCCGGCCAGCAGCCTGTGTATCCTGGTATCAAGACCCCAGTCGTGGATCTTACGTGCTCCCACCTGTCCTTGGGGCTCCCGCGCCATCCTCTCTGGACCCTTGCCTTGGTAGTAATCCTCCTCCTGGGCCCGCACTCCCCCTCCCATCAGCCTATCTGTGCTTATCATCTGTGGCTGGTGCGCTTCTCCATCCTCTCAGGCTCTTTACAGAGGTGGACTTACACTCACTGTCGTTATAAGGCACGGGCACGGGCGGCTGGCAGGGAACGGGTGTTTTTCTGAGATTAGTTGGGGGTGGGTTGGGAATGTTCTTTGCAAAAGATTGTTACCATGGCTTTCCATTGTCCTTTGGACAAAGACCAAAATCCTTAACAAGAACTACTTAAAGTCAGGTCTGCAAAATTTCACCTCTGACTAACTCTCATGCCATTTTGTACATTGACGTTTCTTCATTAAAAGCACAACATGGGGAAGTGCACTAGTCTTTTTGGCTCCTGTCACATTTCAGGGCCTTTGTTCCCGCCGAGCTTTCAGAAAGGAACACGCTCCACGGCCTACAACCCTCCCCCAGTTAGTACTTTCCTGCCCTGGACCTCAGCTCAGAAATCCCCTCCTCGGGGCCCTTTCCCTGGCTCCCCAGACAAGATCAGCTCCCCCCATGCTCTCATTGCAACTTCTTCTTCGTAGCCTGCACCACAGCTTGTAGTTTACATTTATTTACATGCTTCCTAGGTTAATATCCATTTCTCCCTGTAGACCTAACACTCCATGAATGCAGAGACCAGGTGTCTTTCTGGCTTAGTTTGGAAGCGTGCTTGGCACTCAGTAAATATTTGCTGAGTGAATGAATGAAGGCCTCAAGAGGTGGAGGGTGGCAATCACTGCTGGCCCAAAACTACTAGGTGTGGCCTTGGCTGTGTGCCAGTCTTTGCTTAGAATTCTATAGAACATATTGTTTTGTTTGTGAAGATTTTGTGATGATCAGTGTTTTAAACGATCCTAAACTCTGGGACACATTCTAACTTATTGGATTTAACTGCATGAAGCTTAAAGTGGCTGACAGACGTCCTCAGCTATGACACGAACTTGGTGCCCTGTATGCAGCCTCCAGGCAGCCCGTGTTCTAGACTGTTTTTCAGAGTGTTGTTGTTTTGTTCTTATTTACGGGTACGGTTGGGCGGTGCTGAATCAGAGCTTGGCTGGGCTCCTTGTTCCACGTGTATCTTAGTCATCTGCCAGTACGGGTTCTTTTAAAGGGCACTGGATCATAGTGACTTCACCCGAGAATACACAGTGACCAGCGTCCCTTTTTCCATGATGACACGGGCCCCTAGCCCCTTCTTTTACCCACAGTAAGTGGGTTCCTTGTGACATAGTGATCCGTATCACTGGGAAGCTGTTTTCTGCTGCACTGTTAATATATGTACAAGCAAGAACGTGCCCCCAGCACCATGGAACTTGATGTGTGTCACAAAATGCTACCCTCTCAATGTCTTTCAAATAGAAACTGGGAAAGAATCCTTTCTGATCGTCAGTACTGCCTGGTCTTTTTCGCAGGTTGTGACCCAGAAATGATTTATGAAGTCAAACATGTGGGTCATGACAAGCATTTTTTCATGTGTGATTTAGTTTCTCTTTAAACAGTTAATACACAAATTGTTTTATGACAACCCCAAGATGTGTCGACATTCTCCCCTTCTTCACCCCAAGTTCCTTGTATCGATTTGTCCAGTTTTCCTGTCCTTCCTGCCATCTCACAGTATTTTTTTTTTTTTTAATGAAAGAAAATAACATAGAAAATATCAGCTTGCAACATACTTGGTAAATGTAACTATCCTTTTGTGAAACTGGTCTTTCAGTTTTGTGGGTGTGTGATAAGTCAAAATATGAAACATTTCTTTCTTGTAGTCAGAAAATAGGATTGCTGTAGCTCTGTGGCATGTCCTGCTTGGACTTGGCCAATGTCATCACCACCTCTGCTCTGCTTTTTCTTAAAGGTATGCAAAATCCAGTCAGATCAAGACTGTGTCAAGCAGCAAGATATTTTTTAAAGGAAGTAGATTTCGATATAGGTGGGTATCACTGGTTTCATTTCAAGTACTGGGTTGGGGTGGGGGTAGCCCCTTTTTTTTACATTTGAATATTTTACTTGTAAATAAGTATACTTTGTGCCCTATTTTAGCTCTCCGTTTCTACTCATTCATCTCTTCAGCTCATGGAGTCCCCTCAAACTCCATAGTAACTTCCCCTCATAGAGGAGAGAAGGAGTGGATTCCTAGAGCAGAGTCAGACCATTGTGAAGTTAAAAAACATAAGTAATATATGTGCACCCTCTTCCCCTCCTGCATATACACATAAGCACTCATCTGTATCTGCCCATGCACATATACGTATATACATACATATACCTAAACATAGGGAGCCTTGGTGGCACAATGGGTTAAACACTTGACTGCTAACTGAAAGGTTGGCACTTCAAACCCACCAGCCACTCCGTGGAAGAAAAGACCTGGTGATCTGCTCCTGTAAAGATTTCAGCCTAGGAAACCCTATGGGATAGTTCTCCTCTGTCCTGTAGGGCCACTGTGAGTTAGAATTGGCTTGACAGTACCTAACAGCAACAACAATGTACCCACACACATACACATACATGTATACATACAGCATGTATGCATATATGTTGTGTTTCTGTCTTTTGCAGTGGTAAAGTTGCCAAAGAGGTGGTGGAGGCCAGCTCCAAAATCCAGAGGGAGCCTCCTGAGGTACAAAGGTGAGTGGATGGTCTCTGGAGGGCTCTGGTAGCTTCTAGGATGGGTGAAGGAACGTAAAGTCTGGCTTTTCCAAATCCTCTATAACCTCCCTGCCTGTGGTGACATCCGGCACTTAAATAAGGAGAAGAAATCTATTTAATGGGTGCAGATCACAGAAAAGGAAGTAATGGCCCTTTAAACCATCTTTTGTCTATGGTCCCAGGCATGGTACTCTCACTGTCCTGGAATTCTCCCTCAGATGGATTTGGCTGGACCATATCTTGCTCTGTGGAAAGTCATAGGCTTGATTAGGCTTCACAGTGTCATGTGAAGGAGCAGATATGTGTGGGGCATGGTCATGCCATCTCCTGGCCAAGCCAGTCAGCCTGTCCTCTTAGAACTCCTCTCCATTCCTGCCTTTGTCCATCAGACTTGGCCAGTTTCCATTTTCCTGACTCCCTCTACACTACTTCTCAGGTGTAGGCACTCACCTCTCAGTGGCCGCTTTGCTCCCAAGAGCCGCTCAGAGGAACGAGGGACTTAGACATTATTGGTTCAGGGGTTTTTGTTGTTATCGGTTGCTGTCGCGCAGTCCTGCGCCATCTCCATGATGGTTAATATGTTTGAATTCACTGTTGAATGCCTTCTAACCTGGGGGCCTCATCTTCCAGCACTATATTGGGCAATATTCTCTTGTGATCCATAGGGTTTTCATTGACTAATTTTAGGAAGTAGATCATCAGGCCTGTCTTCCTAGTCTGTCTTAGTCTGGAAGTTCCACTGAAACCTTTCCACCATGGGTGACACTGCTGGTATTTGAAATACTGGTGGCATAGCTTCCAGCATCACAGCAACACATAAGCCTCCACTAAATGACAAACTGACAGGTGGTGGGGTTCAAGGGTACGCATCTTAATTAAGGTGACAATATTTGATAATTCTTCTGAATTAAATAGTCTCTTGGCCGCGTTGGGCTTTATGCGCCACAGTGAACACAATTGATTGTACCTGCTAAACCTCACCCACGCTAAATACCTAAAACTGAACATCCTCACTGTGACTCTTCTGCCTTTTAAGGAAAGATCATTATAAGTGATATGCGATATACTTTCGGGAGTTCCCCACTCACTGGTTGGCACCTGTCCTCCCTTCCCCATCTTTGGAATGTGGATGAGTCTCCTTTATGGTCAGAATTGATCATCCTCTATTTCCAGGGTGACCAAGTAAGTGGGTGCCTCTCCACCTTGCCACTCGCGTAGTTGGTCAGGAAGAAGCTGTGGGCCTCAGACAGCACTTCACTCCATGCCCTATGTTTTGATTTTTTTAAAACAGCTTTTTTTTGAGTTTTAATTGACATACCATACAATTCACCCATTTAAAGTGCACACTTCAGTGGCTTGTGGTATATTCACAGATTTGGGCATCTATCACAACAGTAAATTTTAGAACATTTTCATCATCCCTCAAAAAACCCTGTACCCATTAATAGTTCATTCGATATTTTTCTCCAACCACTAATCTACTCTATGTCCCTATAGATTTGCCTGTTCTGGCCATTTCATTAAATAGAATTATACAATATGTGGTCCTTTGTAACTGGCTTCTTTCATTCAGTGTAACGTTTTCAAGGTTTATTCATGTTGTAGCGTGTATCAGTACTTCATTTCTTTATATTTCTGTAGAATAGTCCATCGTGTGGCTATATCACATTTTGTTTATCCATTCATAAGTTGATGGACTTTTGGGTTGTTCCCACTTTTTGACTATTATAAATAATGCTGCTATAAACATTCATATACAAGTTTTTATGTAGGCATACGTTTTCATTTCTCTTGGGTATATATCTAGGAGAGGAATTGCTGGATCATATGGTAACTCTGTTTAACCATGTGAGGAATTGTCAGACTGTTTTCGAAAATCACTGCACTATTTTACATTCCCATCAGCAGTGTATATGGGTTCCGATTTCTCCACATCCTCACCAACACATATTATCTGTCTTTTTGATTATAGCCTTCCTAGCAGGTGTGAACCAGTATCTCATTGTGGTTTTGATTTACCTTTCTCTGATGGCTAATGATGTTGAACATCTTTTCATGTGCTTATTGGCCATTTGTGTATCTTCTTTGGAAAAACATCTATTCAAGCCTTTTGCTCATTTTTTAATTGGGTTATTTGCCTTTTTATCATTGAGTTGTAATCATTCTTTATATATTATTGATACAAGTCTCTTCTCAGATATATGATTTACAAAAATTTTCTCCCATTCTGTGAATTGTCTTTTAATTTTCTTGGTAGTATCCTTAAAGCACAAAAGTTTTTACTTTTGATAATATAGAGTTTATCTATTTCTTCTGTTGCTTGTGGTTTTGGTGTCAGATTTAAGAAACCATTGCCTAATCCGTGACCAGGAAGATTTACCCCTATGTTTTCTTCAAAGTGTTTTATAGTTTAACTCTTACATTTAAGCCTTTGTTCCAGCTTGAGTTAATTTTTGTCTATGGTGTGAGGCATGGATCCAACTTCATTCTTTTGTTGAAAAGACTATTGTTTTCCCATTTAATTGTCTTGGTATTCGTGGCATTCCTTGGTTTGTAGATAATCCTTATATGGCATCTCCCCTCTGTGTGTCTGTCTTTCTGTGTTTGTGCTCCCATTTATAAGATACCACTCAGAAAGGATTAGGTTTAAGACCCACCCTACTCCAGTATGACTTCATTAAAATAACAAGAGAAAACCCTGATTTCCAAATAGTCACATTCACAGGTACAGGGATTAAGACTTTAACATATCTTTTTGGGGGACACAATTCAATCCGTAACAGGTGGTCATATTATTATTATCATTTCTCATCTAAAAATGGGAAGCTAGACTCTGACACATAGGTGCTCATTAAAGTCCCTTAAGATGGAAATTTTGGTGGTTTAGTAACAGGCCAATGCTACTTCCTTTCTCCTCAAGGAGTGGTGCAGGAACTCCATGAGCCTCACTCTATTTCATGCGACCATTCTTTGAAGCCAATAATGGAATATACGTATAGTTCCCAAAGGATACCTTCCTACCTCATAGAGTTCTTAACAGTGTTTGATTCAGAAATTGCTCTCTGCTGGAAGTACAATCACAAGGCAGCTGCAAAGCAGGCAAATGTTTTTGCAGTCCCCTGACAATGGATTCTGAGAGTGGAGAAACGTGGCACGTACCCTAGCCTAGCTGGGGAGGCCCCGCCATGAAAGCAGGTACCTCAGGTTCCAGGGCAGGGCAAAAGCCATTTGGGATTTTTGGCACTTCCTTTAGAAAACTGCCTGACACAGTGGGACTGTGTAGAGCTTCAAACGGCAGGACTTTAGGACTAAAAGTACAGGGATTGTGACCTGAGTCCCCTCAGGGCATTGTGGGATAAATCAGGTAGAAAGGCCGTGGAGAGTGTCATAAAGCACTAGCCTAGGAATCAGATGGTCTGCGTTTGCGTCCTGGGTCTGCCCATGTAACTGTCTTTAGGTAAGTTACATCACCTCATTGAGTCTCAGTATCCTCCTCTGTACATATAGTATTTTTGTTGTCTATCTCATAGACACATTGAGAAAAAAAGAGACAAAGTACATATAAAACTGCTTTGTGAACTAAAAAAGGTCGTTCTAGTTCTGGTATTCTATTTTTCATTATGGAGTCCCTGGGTGGTGCAAACGGATAAGTGCTTGACTACTAGCCAAAAGGTTGGTGGTTTGAACCTGCAGCCCCCACCCCCACCGGCACCTTGGAAGACAGGCCTGGCGATCTGCTTCCAAAAGGTCACAGACTTGAAAATCCTTTGGAGCAGTTCTACTCTGCACACATGGGTCGACATGAGTTGGAATTGACTCGACCGCAACTAACAACATATTTCATTAGAGCAGCTATGCTGGTGGGCTCTTGCTTTACATGAGCAACGGGGGAAACCTGGGTCAGTTGGCACCTTTATGAAAGTTGCAGGGAGAGAGTTAAGTAAAAAAGAAGAATCTTCAGTTTAAAGACAGTAGGGAAGATGAGAGACTTGCCTCTTAATTCTATTTGCTAAATCTTCCCTCCCAAGCTGTCTTAGAACTGGACTCCAAAGCTTGGAGCCCTGGAATCTTTGTGCCCCAGGGACATCCCTAATTGTGTCTGCCTCTGGGAGTCCCTGGGTGGTGAAAATGGCAGCGAAAAGGTTGTAGGTTCAAATACACCCAGAGGTGCCTGGTCCACACAAGCATGGCCTCACGTTGAGCTTTGCAAAGCTAGTGGTGAGCTACCCCAGGACTAGAGGAAAACTCATGAATGCTCAAAAAATACACCTCACAATAAAAGAAAGGACTACTCATGATAAATTTTAATCTCCTTCCTTACTCCTTCCCTACTTCCTTCATTCTGCATGGAATTCCCATCCCCACTTCTTTCTCTGACAAACTCCACCATGTTCTCTAGGACTCACAGCAGGAGTCATCTCCCCTGGGAGGTCTTCCCTGGCTACCCCTCTTCTTGCTCAAGGCAGGATCAGGTGCCTCTCCTTTGTGACCCCATGGAACCCTCTGTCACACTGTATGTCTCCGCCATTAGTCTCCTCTGTGAATGAGATGTTTTTTCAACTGTGATTGTAGTACATTAGTGGGTTATGAAGTGAAAACAGTGGTTAAGACCTGCACTTTAAACAAACAGACAAAAAAAGTGAATCACAAATAGCAATGATCACTATGTTTGTATAAAACATTTGCTTCAGTTGTGCCTTTATGTGCGCACATGTGTGTGCGTGTTGTGTGTGTACTGGGTCATGATATAAAATGTATTTCTTTACGTGAATCTCTATCTTAATTACCTAAGGCTGCCGTAACAAAATATCAAAAGTGAATGGCTTCAAAGAACAGAAATTTATTATCTTATGGTTCTGGAGTCTGGAAGTCTACATCAGGGTATCAGCCATATCGATTCGTTCTGAGGGTTCTGAGAGAGGAAGTGTTCCATGCCTCTCCTAGCTCCTAGTGACTGCTGGCAATCCTTGGCGTTCCTTTGCTGCTTGTTGATGTATGTTCAGATGGTGTCTTCCCCCATACAACTCTGTTTCTGTGTCTGTTCTTTCCTTTTATAAGGCACCGCTCAAAAGGGATAAGTAATAGGACCCACCTTATTCTGGTATGACCACCTTAACTGATAGTATCTACAAAGAAAAACTCTATTTCTCCAAATAAGATCACACTCCAGAGGTTAAGACCCCAACATATCTTTTTAGGGAAACAGTTCAATCCATAACAGTCTCAGTCAAAAAACTTTAAAAATCAGGGTTCTAGACAGTGACTTAGTTCCTTTAGGCAAGGGACATAGTTCCCCAGAACCTGCCACACTGTCAGGTACATACATTTTGGCTCCAAAGTTAAAAGGCTGTAGAATGAAATAATGAAGAAAAGGACTCCATGGTTAAGCAAGTTCTCATACATTTCCTTTCCAGCCTGTGCTGGCGGGTGGCTTTATAATTCAGGATACTTACTGGTTGTCTCTCCTCCTCCCCTGTCCTGTGCCCATGAGAGATGCCTGTGCTATAAGGCAGTCTCAACACCAGCCTCAGTGTCAGTCTGAAATGGCAACTTGTGTCAAACCAGGATTGCATTCAGTTTACTTACCTTTCAAGCCTGGTGCCAAGCAGGGTGGTGTAAGGCACATGAATGGGTAGGTCATTCTCTGCCTTGAAGGACCTTACCCTCCAGCCAGGGTAGGTGCTGATTCGTACACCAGTGATTACAGAGTGACAGAAGTGACCAATGCCTGGATTATGAAAGAAGGAGAGCGGAGAGAGACAGAGAGGGACAGACCTAACGTGTGTGTGTGTTGTAAGGGACAACCCAGAAAGGTGTCAAGGGGAGAAAGACATTTACACACTCTTTGAAGGATGGGCTGGTTTTGACAGAAAACATGGGGGAGGGAAGGGGGCTCACTTCCTCACCTGCGGGCCTACTTCCCTGTCTGTCAGGGCCGACAGCTGGTCTCCCTGCAGCAGGGAGTGTAAATGGGCTTCCCAGCTGCCAGCCAGTAGTCTTGACAAGACACCTGCATTATTTCCTTGCCACCCACTGCCTGTCAGTCTCTGACACACGTGTATGCTCCTTTCTGAAGGAGAAAACCGAGCTGGGTTCTATGACTGGTTGGTGAAAAGGGTGTAAATTTGAATGGGAATGTTTATTAAACATTAAACATTCAACCACTCATCTGTCAGTTTGTTGTATCAATATCATCAGTCAGAACAAAGCCAGGGGCTGACTGTGGAACAAACCATCAATTGCCCATATGCAAGTTCAAGCTGAAGCTGAAGAAAATTAAAGCAAGTCTACTAGAGCCAAAATATGACTTTGGGTATATCCCACCTGAATTTGGAGACCATCTGAAGAATAGATTTGACCCATTGAACACTAATGACTGAAGACCAGATGACTTGTGGGATGACATTGAGGACATCATACATGAAGAAAGCAAAAGGTCACCAAAAAGACAGGAAAGAAAGAAAAGACCAAAATGGATATCAGAGGAGACTCTGAAACTTGCTTTTGAACGTAGAGTAGCTAAAGCACACGGAAGAAATGATGAAGTAAAAGAGCTGAACAGAAGATTTCAAACAGCAGTTTGAGAAAACAAAATATTAAAATGGAATGTGCAAAGACCTGGAGTTAGAAAACCAAAAGGGAAGAGCACACTCAGCATTTCTCAAGCTGAAAAAAAGAAAAAATTAAAGCCTCAAGTTGCAGTATTGAAGGATTCTATGGGCAAAATATTGAACGATGCAGGAAACATCAAAAGAAGTTAGAATACACAGAGTCACTGTACCAAAAATAATTTGTCGACATTCAATGATTTCAGGAGGTAGCGTATGACAAGAACCAATTGTACTGAAGGAAGCAGTCCAAGCTGCACTGAAGGCATTGGTGAAAAACAAGGCTGCAGGAATTAATGGAATACCAATTGAGATGTTTCAACAAATGGATGCAATGCTGGAAGCGCTCACTCTTCTATTCCAAAAAATTTGGAAGACAGCTACCTGACCAACAAACTGGAAGAGATCCGTATTTGTGTCCATTCCAAAGAAAGGTGATCCAACAGAATGCAGAAATTATTGAACAATATCATTAATATCACATGCAAGTAAAATTTTGCTGAAGATAATTCAAAAGCAGTTGCAGCAGTACATGGACAGGGAACTGCCAGAAATTCAAGTTGGATTCAGAAGAGGATGTGGACAAAGGGATATCATTGCTGATGTCAGTTGGATCCTGGCTGAAAGCAGAGAATACCAGAAAGATGTTTACCTGTGTTTTATTGACTATGCAAAGATATTCGACTGTGGATCATAACAAATTATGAATAACATTGTGAAGCACCGGAATTCCAGAACACTTCATTGTGCTCATGTGGAACCTGTACATAGACCAAGAGGCAGTTGTTTGAACAGAACAAGGGGATACTGTGTGATTTAATGTCAGGAAACGTGTGCATCAGGGTTGTATCCTTTCATCCTACTTACTCAGTCTGTATGCTGAACAAATAATCTGAGCAGCCAGACTATATGAAGACTCATTAACAACCTGCAATATGCAGATCACACAACCTTGCTTGCTTGCTGAAAGCAAAGAGGACTTGAAGCACTTACTGATAAAAACCAAAGACTACAGCCTTCAGTACCCCTCAACATAAAGAAAACAAAAATCCTCACAACTGGACCAATAAGCAACATCATTATAAACAGAGAAAATATTGAAGTTGTCAAGTATTTCATTTTACTTGGATCCACCATCAATGCCCATGGAAGTAGCAGTCAAGAAATTAAACAATGTGTTGTGTTGGGCAAATCTGCTGCAAAAGACCTCTTTAAAGTGTTAGAAAGCAAAGATGTCACTTTGAGGACTAAGGTGGGCCTGACCCAAGCCATGGTATTTTCAACCACTGCATATGCATGTGAAAGCTGGACAATGAATAAGGAATACTGAAGAAGAATTGATGCCTTTGAATTACGGTATTGGAGAAGAATATCAAATATACCATGGATTGTCAGAAGAACAAACAAGTCTGTCTTGGAAGAAGTACAGCCAGAGTGCTCCTTAGAAGTGAGGATGGTGAGACTTATTTCATGCAATCTGGACATGTTATTAGGAGAGACCAGTCCCTGGAGAAGGACATCATGCTTGGTAAGGTCGAGGGTCAGCGAAAAAGAGAAAGACCTTTGACAAGATGGATTGACACTGGCTGCAACAATGGGCTCAAATATAGCAATGATTGTGAGGATTGTGCAGGACCAGGCAGTGTTTCATTCTGTTATACATGGGGTTGTTATGAGTCAGAACTGACTTGATGGCACCTAACAACAACAACAAATATTAAACATTGGATGTCCGGCAACAGAATAATAGCTTGTAGTTGTAGAATGTCTGTGCTTTGTGTCTGGCAGGATTTCATTGTTGTTGTTAAATTACTTTCAGCCATGCACTTCATTCACTTTTCTGTTTATCTAGGTTAGTGATACCTGCCTCCAATGTCTGTTTTATTTTCCCATGCCCTTTAAAAAACAAACAAACAAAACTTGTGATAAATATAAATGTATACGTTACAAAACATTTACCATTTCAATATTCTTTACATGTACATTTAAGTGACATTATTTTTATCATGTTGTTCCACTGTCACCATTATCTGTCTCCAGATTTTTCCATCATCCTTGACAGAAGCTCAGGGTCCCCTAGCAAGCTTTTCCCCTCTTTCCCACCTGCCCCTGGTAACCACCAGTAAACTTTGGTCTCTATATATTTGGCTATCCTAGCTATTCGGTATGAGTGGGATCATACAATATTTGTCCTTTTGTGCCTGACGTATTTCACTTAGCCTAATGTTTTCAAGGTTCATCCATATTGTAGCATGTATCAGGACACCATTTCTCTTCATGGCTGAGTAATATTGCATTGCACGTATATACCACATTTTGTTTATGAGTTCATCTGTTGATGGACATTTAGGCTGCTTCTACCTTTGGCTATTATGAATAATGCTGCAATGAACATTGGTGTTCATGTGTCTGCAGGGATGGATTATCCAATAGGCAAGGTTAGCACGGTGCTTACCTTGCTTACCAGATGATCTGTAGTGAACGATTTCACATTTTTTCAGCACATCAAAGATTCTGCTTCTAGGTATGGCTGGCATCTCTTGCTCTCCCTACCGTACAGCACCTTCCTACAGAATCAAAGCCTCTTTTTCAAATGTACAGTCAAAGATGTTGTGAAACCATATGAAATTGTTCACTACAGATTAGTAAGTAAGCACAAGTACCTTGCCTGTTGGATAATCCGCCACTGTGTGTCTGTGTTCATGCCTTTTTTAAATGTCTGTGTTGTCACCTAGCATGCCCAACTCTGATGGCATATGGCTAAATGTATTTTCTTTGACTGTGTTGCATTAGAACACATAGACGTCTTACTAGCACCTTAAGAATAAAAAGTACTGTGAGTCTTGAGTGTTAAATTGTCTTTACCATTGGCCTAATCCACAGTGTGTGTCTAGAGGCAATTTCCAGCTTGAGTAGGCAGGCTGAGGTGGAGGGGGCCAGCATTTGCAATGATTCGTGGAAACCAACTCCATCTTGTTTGTGTCTGTTTTCAGAGCCAGCATTACTCAGAGCCGCAGTTCCCACTCCTTGAACAAACAGCTCATCATTAACATGGAACCCCTGCAGCCCCTGCTGCCTTCCCACAGTGAGCAGGAAGAGGAACTTCCTCTGGGTGAGGGTAAGTCAGCCATGTCATTCCAGAGGCCGACACTGCAGGCGCAGTCTCGGGGGAACGAGTGTGGGACCAACCCTGGGTATATTGAGTGATGGGGTGGGGTGGGGGTCAGAGCGAGTCATAAACTGTGTTTTTAGTAAATGAGCTATTTGTAGATGGATAGTCCTGTAATATAGAGAGTTCTATCACTTTCTCTTGGAGAGAAGTCACAGGTATAAAATATTCTTAAAATTACACGATAAAGCAATAATGGTGTTAGACTTACACTGTCCAGTATGGCAACCGCAGCCACAAGTGGCTATTTAAAACTAAGTTTAAATTATTTAAAATGAGATAAAATAAAAAAAATTCAGGTCCTCAGTCACACTACCCAGATTTCCAATACTCAATAGCCATATGTGGCTAATGGGTACCATATTGGACAGTGCAGACCAAGAACGTTTCCATCATTGCAGAATGTTCTGTTGGATGGCGAGGTTTTAGATTATAATCACAATTAAATTGGTGGTTATAAAAAATTCTCCACAAGCATCTCTACACTGGTCATTCCTTTTTTGCCTCAGTTTTTCTCCAGCTTCTTGTTCCCTTTGCCACAGATACCTTGTTTGACAGATCTGACACACACTAAAATGTGTAAGACCCACTTCAACCTAAAAATTGTTATATTTTTAAAGACTATCATATATGTGCTTCCAGACTTCTTTGTTATTTAAGGACTGTGTTTACTTCAGGGAAGATTCTCACCACCTCTGTTTGCCACATATGCCTAGTGAGACAAAACTTATTACACCATCTCCCACTCTTATTAATATCAAAGCAAATGGAAAAAACAACCGTGCACGTAAAATAAACTTACGGGAACCCTGGACAGAAATGTGATATGCTTTTCTTTAACTCTATGTGATTTCAGTTTCATCTTTTAAAATCTGGATCCTAGGTAGTTTTAAGAGGGCAGGTCACCCTGTCCCCAAAAGATCACTTTCACCTACAGTTTCAGGTCAAGAATTCCTTTGATGGGAGAAAACTTTTCAGTCCATAATGAGAATATGGCTTGGAAAGCAAATGCCCTTATGAGTGGTAGCAGCAGCTCATTCACACTAAAGTATAAAGAATTTTAGTAAGTCTTTTCCTGAAAAGAAGCTTCCATGGTTAGAAGGGGAATTGGGCAACTGGATGCCAAAAATCCCATGGAGCGGAGGGAAAGTCCGCAAATGTGGAGGATGGCGTCTTAGAAGACACCTTTTCACTCCAAGCTGAGCTGCAAGATGATAATGTGAATGATCTTGTATAAAGGCCTTTGCCATCTGCCTTAACGACTATCTCTGTATGTTCCTTGTTAAATTCATTTTCTAATCTTAGAGTCTTTTGAGGTCCATGTAGCTCGTGTACGTTTTTCAGCACCTTGTCTGTTCTTGTATGTTTTATAAGTGAAAGAAAAGCAGCCTTTATTTCTGGGACACCAAGGATCTTCTGGGCTTCCTCCCATATGCCTGGAATATAGCTCTAAACAAAGATGACATTTCTGCCTTTTTGGCTGGTTTCTGTGTCTGAGCTTTTGGGCACATACAGTGTGATGAATTTTGTTTCATCTTTATATTTTGATGTTTTAATGCTTTTTACGTCTGAGAAAGAGTCAAATTAAAAGAGGCTATGAATTCATTGATTCCTTAATACAAGAAATACAACTTTCGCAACTTGTAGACCACATTCACAGTAGGCAGGTTGCTGTGGCCTATGAAGATGAAGACACACCCTTTTCTTGGAAAGCTCCTAGGCTGCTGGGGAGATGGCAGTAGGATCACAGAGGTGATGAGTAGGTTCTGCCTCTGTGTATTGAACTATGTGTTCACTTTTCTTCATGCCTCACTAGATATCAGTGCCACCAGCTGCCTGGAGAGTGTCTTATTCCTTTTTAGTCATATTATAGTGTCTGTGGTGGTTAAGGTGTGTGTCAACTTGGCTAGGCCATGATTCTCAGTTGCTTGGCAGTTATGATGCAGTTTGGCAGCTATATAATGATATAATCACCTCCATAATGAGATCTGATATAATGTAGTCACCTCCATGATGAGATCTGCTATGAAAACGATCAGTTGAAAGGGAGTTTCCTTAGGGGTGTGGCCTGCATCAATATATGTGGATTTTCTGGCAAAGCTCACTGGCTTTAGCTTGCTCTGGATCCTGCAGCTTGCTCCGTACCTGACCTCTAGTTCTTGGGATTTGAGCTAGTAGCTTACCTGCTGATCTTGGGATTTGTCAGCCTCCTCAGCCTGTGAGCCAGAGGCCTGCTGTCTGACCTGCTGATTTTGAGTTCACCAGCCCCTGCAGCTATGTGAGTCAGGAGAAGCCTCCAGCCTGACCCACAGACTTGGGGGCTTTCCAGCCTCTGCAGCCATGTGAGGTAAATCTCTCTCTCTCTGTATATATATGTATATATATATACCAGGGAAGCATACACACACACACACACACACACACACACACACTCCACTTATTTTGCTTCTCTAGAGAGCCCAACTCAAGAGAATGTTTAATATAAAATCAGTGGGCAAAGGAATGAATGGACATGACTGAGAGGCAGAGGGAATGGCGAGTGGGCAGGTACACCCGCCTTGGTGTGTGTCGGGGGCTGGAGAGGAAGGGTCAGGGAATAGTGAAAGGTGAGGCAGAGAGTTAGGAAAGGACTAGATCATAATGGATCTGATATGACTTGGTGGAGAATTTAGACTTTAATTGGGCAATTGGGAGACGCTGAAAGATTTCAACCATGGAAATGACTTCTTGAAATGGTATTTTAGTCCATTCTGGTGGTAGTGTGTAGAGGACAGTTTAGAGGAGGCTAGGCTTTGGGTTGTGCTTGACTAGTAGCTGGAAGGTTGGTGGTTCAAATCCATTCACCCAGTGATGCTACAGAAGAAAGGCCTGGCGATCTACTTCAGTAAGATTGCAGCCTTTGAAAAGCCTATGGAGGACAGTTTTACTTTGAAACACGTGGGGTCTCCATGAGCCAGAGGTGACCCAATGGCAAAGAGTTTAGTTTTTTTTGTTTTTGTTTTATGGTTGAAGCAGGGTTTCTCACCCTTGGCACTTTTGACATTTTGGGCCAGACGATTCTTTGTTCGGGTCTGTCCTGTGCATTTTAGGATGTTTAGCAGCATCCCTGACCTCTGTCTACTAGACGCCAGTAGCACCTTCCCACTATGACACCAGATGTCTCCTGGGGATCAAAGTTGGCCCTGGTTGACAACCACTAGGCTAGAGGAACAGAGAGCACATAGCAAAAGCCCAAAGAATAGCTAAACAAGGACTGAGCTAAGGCAGGGAGACTGGGATCAGGAGGAGCAGTGGATTCAACACATATTAAGAGGTAGAGCTGTTGAGATGTGGCCACTGATTGCATAGCAGGTAAGAAGCCCATCAACTCCTACCTTCAAGCTCTTGCCCTGGATGCAGAGACTTTGACTGCGAGTGGAAAGACTTCAACCTCTTTATTTTAAAGGTGAGACTCTTGAGACACAGGAAGACTTAAGGGACATGTCAGCATTACACAGGGAGTCCATGGCAAAAAATGATTTTGTTTAGATATTGGAGACATTGGGAGGGTTAGGTACTGTGCATTGCTTCGCTGAGCTTCAGCCACACTGTGGAGGAGTCTCGGACATACCTGCTCACTTTTGATGTTATTATTATTCCTCATCCCTACATAATGATTCAGATGCTTGTTTGAGGAAGTTTCAAATCACACATTTTTCGCTAAGTTTTCTCCCATTGAAGGAATTCTTGACTTGAAACTGCAGGTAAAGCTGATCTTTTAGGCAGGGTGACCTGTACTCTTAAAACTGCCCAGATTCATAAACAGGTCAAGGTCAGCATCCAGCTCCTGTTAAAAGAGTTGTCTGATTCAGAATTGTTTAAAGATCAGCTTGGGAGAGAAAAGGCCTTAACCCTAGCCTTTGGAAGCTCCATCTCTGTGATGTCATGGGAAAGCCATGTGGCACCTGGTCTCAGAAGAGTGTATGGTGGTGGCTTCTCTGTCACCACCATGCCTCTCTGGGGTCAGGGCCACCCATTTGTCTGACAAACTCTTTTCACTGTTCCCAGAACTTCAAGTTTCTCAACGACAGCTGGGCAGGGCGTTACTGCCCAGAGTAGCCCATTGGTGTTCAAAGAGAATGTGTGACCCGTTCAACACGACAGCTGCAGGATTAGTGCCGACGTTGGCTGCATCTGGGTGGAGAAAAGAACACAATCAATTCCTAGACACTACTAGGCAACGGGAAAGTTTTCATGTTACTCAAAAGTTCCTTGGCTACAAGATCCGAGTAAATTAGTGCTGTGGAAAAACTTGAGAATGGCAAACCATCGGAAAAGTGCCACTTAGAGCATATGAGAATTTCAAGAGAAGGCAAAATTGAGAGTGGGAGTTGTTCTGGGTGAAAATGGCATTTTAAGGAGTCATTAGAATGAGTTCTCTTGCAAAATGGAGTAGATTCTCCATAGTATAGATACTAAAATGCTTGCTTGTTTTATTAGTGGTGTCTGTTTGTCATTATGGAAAAATGCTCGATTATGGTAGAGAAGAGGCGTGAAATTAATCAGGTGAGACTTGGTAGTTAGCAATTACTGACACGATGAAGATCATTCTTGTCAGTCAATGATGGTGCATAATTAAGCAGGTAGAAAAGCTGTGCTTTTTTTTTTCCCTTGGTAGACAAAACTAGAGTTGAAAACGTTTGATACCCTCCTGGTAGCAATACAAAAGCACAGTAGATATACTAGATTTTCTATAAAGAAGGGTCTTAGGGGTGGCAGTGTGGCTGGATTTGGTTTGAAGCTGCATTTGTATATGATTGAGAAAATGTCTGTGTCAAAGAATAGATAGGAGTCCCTGGGTGGTGCAAATGGTTAATGCACTCGGGTGCTAACTGAAAAGTTAATGGTTTGAGTCCCTCCAGAGGTGCCTTGGAAGAAATGCCTGGTCAGCCATTGAAAACCGTATGGAA